TCTACAATAATAGAAGTATCGTTATATTAGATTTATAACTACGTTTATAAATGATAAATCGGCAGAATGATACAAAATTTGACGGAACGTGTAAAATCAAAAAGTTAAATAAAATCAACTTCAAATCAAAAACCTGTAGCGTATTCTAAAACAGTGACATTCACAGCAACATGATTTGACAGAACATATGTTGAAATTTTGTGTATAAATATTGGAAAGAGAATAAAAGTACAAATCGGATTTTATACGTTTTTTGGTCATACTTAGGAGCCAGTTTATTTACTCGTACGAGGAAGTTTGACACATTAAATTTACTAATAATGATAGTGGTATACTTATTCCATATAACAAATGAGGTTATGGGAAGTAGTATTAATAATTTTAATGAAAAGGTGACACTATCGGTGAATAGCGATCTCTTCTATACTATCCAATAAAAAATATTTTTCATCTATTTTTTTTAAATACTCACCAGGTATTGAGTCCGTCTTTTTAAGCTTTCCTGTTAACATCTAGAATTTTGAAAAAACTCTCAGTCAATCACAATATTTCCTATGCATTGATCTTCTGATAATCACAATAAATTTTGGGATAGAACCTATATCTTATTCAAGGCTGCGTTATAGTCGGATCAAAAACTGTCAAGTACCTTTTGTGTTAAACAGTAATAGATAATAATCATTACATACATACAAACTCACAAACTTTTATATTTATAATATTAGTAGGATCAGGATAAAATACTCAATAGTGATAAAGGTTAAGACGTATTAAATGTTAATATTTTCATCCAAATTACTACAATAGTATAAATCCTACTAGGATATATTAAAACAAACCAAAAAGGCAAGAATTTATTTGTTTTAAAGTTATTATAATTAACTAAAACAATGTTGTTTGTATTAAATTAATTGTTCATATTAATTATTAAAGTTCGGAGCAACGAAATACGAGTATATAATGATTTATACTAATAGCATTTATTTTATTATTATTGAAATACATATTTAGGAATATGACTTAAAGGAATTTAAACTCTTTATGATGTATGGATAAGGTTTCTTGTAGCTTAAATAGTTTAATGCTATCATTGAATTAAGTAATTTATGAAATTTGTAAATGTTTTTACTGTTACATCTACTCGTATTTTATTTATTAAATTATGTGTTACTATGTGCAATATATAGTTACATGTATCAGGCGTCTAAGCGAATGTTTATTAATTTAAATAATATCAAAAAGAACTAAAAAAATTTTTATTTATAGGTCTATTATATTTTTATTAGCATGTGGTTATTGAAATAAATTTGACGCGTTCTTTGTAAAAAGTAACACCATATATACACATATACGTATATATTCATTACAAAACGCTATCTACATTAATACAAAAAAAAATAATGATTTTAATACAAATAATATAACTACATAACATAATAAATTTTGTAGCCACTGCAAGAGAGACCGTAGTTTTGCTCTAGTTAAAATAAAACAAAGGAAAACTCGGTATTGTAAGTCGTACCAGTTGTATGCGGTTACTGATTCAGATAAAAGTATCGAAACGCTTTAACATTCATTGCGGCTTAATGTTACCTCTAAAATCTAAGGTTGCAAAAGGTTTGTTCATTTTAAAATGTAATTTAAATTATGCCTTCATATTAATTTCTTAGTATGTTGGGGCAGTGATTATATTAGTAAATACAGTTATGATTTGGGGTTCAAATCGTAAGAAAAAAACATTGGCTTTCACACTGTATTCAAGGTGTACTTTTTGCTAACTCAAACATTTTTAGAATCAAAAATAAAAAAAATCGTATTTGTATGGATCTTAACATACATTTAATTTTAAAGTGTCGATTAATGGGTAAAGAATTTGCATAGACATTATAATATGAAGCATTCGTCGCATTGTAACGGAGTGTTAGGAAAAAAATATTGTATGTAATTTTTAAGTTCTTAATTAAACTTTAATAATAATAATCCACCGATCCACCAATCTAACGTAATGGTAATTTGTTTTTAAAATGAATAAACAAAGCCATAACATAATATAATTTGTGATATAGAAGTTGTGCTTCTTCTATAAAATTTAAACAGAAGACCTATAGATATTATGAATCTTTTTTGATGATGTACTTCTTTAAATAAGCTTTTATTTACGCGAGTAACTTAAGAAATAAAAATAGGTATGTAGAATTTAAATTATGCCTATGCCTATTTTAATTATACATAGTAGGTTTTAATTCATAACACATAAAGACCTACCTGGTAAAATATAAAATATACTTTCAAAGAACTAAACTGAAGTATGTTACTAAACTGGTTTTTAGAAAGGACGTGGAAACTCAGAATATATACATATATAAATTATTTCAAAGAGTTTCAACTAGCGTGCGACGCGCCCAATATGTAAACGACTTTAGACGCATAAATCAAATCGCGCTATATTTTATAAAATAACTGGAATTACTATTTTACTGGTCTTATTTTATACACGACATGACTGGGTAATGATCCCGGCAGTCATTAGTGTTGATTATATTATCTGATAGAAACCTTAATTAACCAAAAAACATTTCTTTAACAGACGATATTTTAATTTATCGTGTATATAAAGATTATGCTGTTTTTATAAACCGAATATGAAAAATTTTATAGTTGTTTTATTAAGCTGTCACTGGTGAATGTTTTAAGTCTTAATTTGGAATTGAAACCTATGCTTGGAAGTTTTTTTTTAAGTCCTTACATTTTATGATTTTAATTTTTATACATATATTGATTCAATTGTTTGAATTTGAAAAATATTGTATGTAAACTTCTGTCGCATGTCGTGAGTACAATATATATTTTTAATTGAGTAAACGAATTGAGTAAGGTCATTTACATGACATACTGTAAGCTACCAATAAAAGTCATGTCAGATAACTAATATGTTGTGACGTTGTACTCTCAAATATTTTATCCAGCAGTCGAAATAAAAAATATATGAACCTACTGTTATTTTTGTTATGAAAGCTTATTAAATATAATAAAAACTTTTAAAATATATGGAAGCAAAAAAGTTCCAAACTTTTAGTTCAAGTGAAAGTCCATCAATTACGACGACTATTTTGAATGAATGGGTTTTGTTTTCCAAAAGTTGTAAAATTATAAATGACTATCGAACTTTTGGTCATATGTCATTTGTTGAAAAAAAAAAGTAGTTTCTATAATATCCATTGTTCTCAAAATAGACTCTTAGAATAAACCATAAATTTAAAATTATGTGTGTACTTCATTTACACGTAATACAAACTCCTCCTGCCTATTTTTATATTTTAATTTGTACAGAGTGAATACTGAAGGACTATATTACTCAGATTAAACGAAGCTATATGTTAAGGTTAACAACTTTCTGCACATAATAACTAAATCAACGATATGTTTTTGAATCAAAGGATCAGCAATAACTAGAAGCACTGCATCTTAACTTTCGATATACTAAATAAAAAACTCTTGAAATTTACGTTAATGCAGGGTTTCTTCTCTATTACTTCAGAAAGCCCATGGGAAGGTTTGGATTAAGGATTTCTTTCTTAACGTCCGGAAATATTTTTTTGTTCACATACTTGTATGATATAACGTTCTCTCAAAGGAAACCTCATAGGATATCGTCTGATTGTCTGACAATTTTGGATCAAGGGTCTCTTATCTCGGAAACTGTTTAACGTTAATCATCTCATGGTCTCTATGGAGTCTCGTGAGCGTCATACCTGGTCCGTGGAGATTTACTAGTAACCCCGTTAAAGCTCCCACCACAAATTAGGTAATCAACTTGCGAAATATCCTATAGAGGAGTTCAGAAACGCTGAAGACGTCTTCAAAATTAATTTGAATGATTAATTCTAATGAATTTTGGTTGCTATTCAAAACTCTTGGTAGAAATAGGCCATACCTTTTGTAACTCTTAAAATATTGTATTCTGGTTAGGTCTAGAGAAACTCAAGTCATTTGAATGGGCATATTTATCTGCTTTGTGCCTAACATACTATTGTAAGTATTATTAATTTGTTTGTATCAAAATGTATTAAATTTTGTAAAGGATTTAGGAAAATTTAGGAAACCGGAGCATTTTACGAAATGTATTACAGATGTATTCCCAAGACTATACTCCTGATTCCCCAGCCTTATTAGGGCCAAAGTAGTATATACATTATTCGAGGACTTATATACATATATATATATATATATATATATATATATATATATATATATATATATATATTATATATATATATATATATATATATATTTCATTTTTGATCAATAATACTGGATCACTATTTGCTTAATTTAATAAAAGACACATACACAAAAAATCTTGTACAACTGTTTTAGTATCGTTTAGTAATATTTAAAATGAATTACATATGTAATGGTCTGAATATAATATAGATTCAAATATATCATTTGACACTAGAATCTGCTAGCATTTTATTTAAATTCTATTCTAACTTTAAAGCATCACGAGGTTATTAGACGAAAGAAATCTGTTGAAAATCATAATTGAAATACACTAAACTCAAAAACAAACAGGAAAGTAAACCCAACAAAAATAAAAAGGCCCAAATAATGACGGTGCCCATCCTGATTGTAACACATTGTTTATGGGCGCATTTAGAGGATTTTTATTGCAGCCGTTTGTCCCTTAAACGTCCCAGGTCTTCCGGTCGAACAAACCGGTCGTACATATTTATAACCCGAGATACTAAAAGTGCATCCTTTATTGACAAGTCTTTTTTGTATTTTGTTCATGTATAACAATATAATCCTATTGTAACAATATATCGTCAAATAAAAATAAGCAAGTAGTGTTTACAAATTCACCACTTATGGGTCATATATTCTCATTCCCCGTTTATCGAAATCGTGACTCGTTTCCACAAAAATCTGAAAGTTATAACGATAAATTTCATAGCTATACGAAAGTATTCTTACAAAATATTAAGTAAGTATTTAAAATGAAGTCTTCAAGACGTAAAAAAATTTCCAACAAATGCAATCAAAAGTTCCAGACGGTTAAACCTGGAAGTTGCATCATAATTATTGTTGGAGTTCCGTTTCAGTGCGCGGCCGGTCGCGCGGCGTGGCAGGAGGCGGCAGCGCTGTCTGTGGGGGGCGGCGGGCTGGGAGCTGGTGGGGCCGCGCGCCGCTGCTCCGTGCTCGGCGATCATCCTGGCGCCAGGAGAGACCAGCGCGGCAAGTGGCACCGCACCAATCGGGTAGGACATCACGCTTGGTTATTTGCATGAGCAATCATTGAATGGTTTTCCACTTGGTGTCGTATTATTGATGTTGAAGTTTATAATATATGTGTACATATATGTATGAAAATAAAAATAATCCATTTCGTTTGATCAATTTTTAATATCCACATGCAAATTCCAACAAGTCCTGAAGCTACATATAACATAGTTAGTAATCTTAGTAGGAATACAGTTCTGTATTAGGAAGAATACACATTTTTAGACTTGTTCAGACCTGAAAATGCGTTACATGCTCTCAGACTACGGTGACTTCCCTCAATCTAATTGATCGGTTTCTCATTCAAAATCATATATAAAGGGACCATTTAGTCACAAAAATTTATTTTAATGTAGTCCACAAGAAATATACATGAAAGGTCACTATTTCCAGGTCCGCGACGCGTCCTATGGTTCATCATCAGACTCGGACGAGGGGGAAGGAGCGCCCGGCGAGCCTTGGGGCGTCGCTCGCTTGTTATACGCCGGGCTGGCTATCCTCGCTGTTGGTCTCGTCATTTATTTCGTGGGTACCGGAGACAAGGTAATTTACATTTATATTCAGCATTTCAGTTACAAGTTACAACTAACCATCTACTAAAAGGAAAAATTAAGATATGTTAAAAATATATAGAAAGGAATTACTTCTTAATCCATATCAACGGAAGGCTGTCTAATAATTATCTACCCTTTTTATTTTATTCAAACAAAAAGAAAACAAATACTCCTACGAATGTTAAAAGTTTTCATAAATGCATATTATTTAATTAATTATTTATTAGCTAAGTTTCTGTCGATGGCAAAAGGTGCAATGAATTTTATTTTAAATTTACTTAAGTGTAGTTATTTAGAGAATGTTAATGTGAATTCCAGGGTTTCAAAACGCCTGCACTACGCCTGGTGGGCCCGTCCCTTATCGTGGCGGGGTTGGCGTGTTGTTTGTTACGTATCATGTTTTGTATATTCGCCAAGCCTTGCTGCAGACGGCGACCCAACCACAAGGAGAACAGAAGGTAATAATTATATTACAATATATTTTAACTTAGGTACATAGTATTTTTGAAATCTGTTTTTAGACCTCCTCTAACAACATGTCCAAACTTTCATTTTAGTTATATGAAAAACAAATATATTTTCTCAAATGAAGGAAAGGAATAGTCACTTTAAGTATAGTTGTACTACATGTGTAGGAATACTTTCATAAACAAGATTGTTGTCTACTCCAAGTCAGGTTCTCTCTTCGTGTGATTTTTATAAATAACTAGGTACCCGCTCCAGCATCGCAGGGGCACTTTACAAAATATATAAAATAGCCTATGTTGCGTATAATGTGTTTTCTACTTACTTGTCAGTTAAATCACGACAAACAAAAATTTCATCTTTCTTCGTTAAACATATTTTAAGTACAACTTAGAAAAACGACATATTTTTATGTTAATAACAGTTTTTTAAAATGAATAAATTAAAAAAAATTGTATAAAACATTTATGACGTAATCATGTGAAAAAGTGAGCTGTCGCGTGGATTTAATTTGTTTTTAATGGATAAGACTTAACGGAATTATGTAAATAGCTTTCCTATGAAAGCTTCATGAATGCCAATTTTTTAAAGTAGTAAAAGGGATATAGTATGTTATCGTTAAGAGATAGACATATGCCATCGCGGACTTTTCTGTAGACAAATATAAAGTACATAATTCTACTACATGTATAAATTGTTTTGTTATATCTCAAATGGTTTTCGCATCGTTTTCGTAAAAAAGCTGAAAAACGGCTTATTTTCTCCCGAGCTCTTTGAGAAAGATCGTTTATGTACACACAAATAAATACAAAACCTTAACAAAACATATATCAAAACTTTTCTCGAGAATCACACTATCAAGTTGTGGAAACTGCTTGTTATAATTTAGTGCAGTAGTTTTTGTTTTTCGCGAACAAACAGACAGACAGACACGAAAGGGACTTTGTTTTATAACATATATTGATTTCACCAGATTTGTAAGAAAGTAACATATTATTTTAAATAAATACATACGTTATACATAATGTCAGTCACATTTATTTTAGGCTGTATTAGTGAGTATCACTCATAAAACTGTGGTCATTTCAAGTCAATAGCTCCAATTACTAGTCCATAATTCCAAAACATCCATTAGTTACTTTAAAAATAACGAGCTAAAAATTGCTTACTGGCCTCAAATTTCGGAACACGGTGAGGGCCAAATTTTTTTCTAAAACATCCATTGAAACTAAAGTGTCTAAAAACAGATTTTCAGTAAGTAATTTCTCCTTTACTTTGAAATAAGCAGGCGTTGCTGCCAGATATAATTCAAGGATAGTTTATAACGATAACACTATCATCTTCCAGACTGTCAGGTTGCGTGGAGGGGGAGGAAATGCCTCTGGCTGGTGCGAGTCGAGCTGGGCCAGCGCAGTGTTCCCCCGCTCGAAGACTCGATGCCTCCTCATGCGACGTATCAAGCTTGTCGAGTGGCGAAGAGGACGAACGGCTGCGACGATATCGTACCAACAATCAGCCGCAGACTGTACTCGTGCAACCAGTTAGTAACCTTTTAGATCTTTTAACCACCTCGATAGGTAATGGCTGCGTTTCGTCCGATGAGTGAGAGAGACGGTTGCATTTCACCTATTCTCACTCTTTCCTACCTTTTCCTTATTCCCACCCCTGCCTATTCCTAAAACTCAAGGTTGGCAACGCATCCGCAACATCTCCTATATTGCGGATGTCTATGGCCGCCGATAACTACCTTCCATCAAGTAGGCAGTCGTATCATCGTATTACAGGCTCGTTTGCCACCATTCATATAAAAAAACCTCGATAAAAGAATATTAAAATAAATAGCCTAAGCTGATTAGTAAAGAAATTTTATTATTTTAGTTTTCTTAAATGGCCAGTGAAATCATCCTGATAAGCAAAATCTATATTATCTTTATACATGACAGAAAGTCGTGCTAGTTACACTATACGTAACTCTAGAAAGAGTATATGGATTTGGCTGGAAATTTGTGGAAAAATAGCTTAGAACTAGAAGACGAATATAGGAATCTTTTCAACCCATTCGACCAAAAAAAAAATAAGTCTATAAAATCTTAAATCTGTTTATTAACTGTCTCTAAGGCGAAACATTTCGCCTGCTCGCCTAAAACCTATGCATTTCTAATTCTGAAACTAACGCAGACAAAGTAGTGGGCAAAAGTTAAAGCTAGCTAGCTAGCTAACTGTATAGATTGTACAAAATATTTAATCACGCTGACATTATATTACGGATATAGAAAATACCATTGGTTCTTGATGGTTTCCTCAAAAATATTAGTGCTTATGATTCCAGACTGATGTAATATCTTTCCCAGGCGGGGTCACAGCCAAAACCGCAGCCGTCATCGCCGGTCGCACCGCCAGTTCAAGTCCAGGCGAGCCAACCAGCTGCTACGTCAAGCCAAACAAAGCATTCCGGCTGCCCAGTAGTTGGCAAACGACCTCCACCCCGTACCGTGTCCTTCGCGGGCGCACCCGATGGCGAATTGGTCCTAAGTCCGGCACAACTGCGATAACCAAGCAATAAACTATCACGCAATACTTTTTATACACGTGACGTGACCTGGTTGCTATCATCCGTGTGGCTTAGTTTAAACGTTTTAATATAGTGTAAGCGTTAATCTGTAGTAATTTGAATATTGAATGTGCTAGATCATCCGTCTTAACGCCAACTAGATACTACTTGATGCGGTTTCAGTTTTATTTATTGTATAACAGATCTAACGTGTGAATCGTTCGGGCCAATATTTGTAGCTAATTGGACATCAGGAACCGCGTCTCGTAGTTATTCGATATTAAATAGTGAATATATAATATAAATATTGTGTTAAAACTGCCTACTACTAGTGCGAATTTATATTTAAATATAAAAAATCATAAATAGATATATAACTGACAATAATGATTGTTAACTGATGTATAAAGTGTTATGGCGTACGTGATTTTTAATTGTTCCATTTATTTGTGGGTAATAACGAAAGTAGTTCATACGCCGAGTGTGTTTGAAATATGTAATGTTGAGCTATAAAATATTTTATATTTAATTAGTTAAAGTAATGAAATACATATTTATTGATAATCATCATGATATAAGCATATTGATGGTGACAAGTTTAATATGCAGTGGCATATACGTTTTTTATTGACACATATATTTATATTCCGATATATATAATAAATAAAATATTATATTATAATAATATAGTACCTAACATATGTCCTAATGAGGGCTCTATACGATATTTAAAAGTATGATATTATTTTCCGTAAATATAAGTTATTTTTTCAATGCGAAACTTTTAAATGAATTCTGAACGAACGTCTATAACGCAAAGATGGAATGACATAGATACATATTACTACATGGCATGAACAATTTTTCCTCTGAACTTACGGAATTGACACAACATTTAATAATACAGTTGTTTACATAGAAATATATTTGAAACTTGGCGGCTGAACTACATGAAACACCAAAGATAGTAATTATTAAGTAATCAGTGTATAGTGATACTGTTTAACAGTAATGTTATTATGTATAAGACAACGGTAACAATCGTATAGATTTTGTTGTCACTACATATTGTTTGACGTGTGTTACATTTCAAAACTACATTCATGACATTTATGACAGATAAAACAAAATGTAGTGTCAACAAAGCTTTATTGTTAAGCGTGCGTTGCATATTGGCACAATATAGTGGGATACTGTTTATATAATATATATTTTAGACATATTTGCACCACTAGTAGTGAAATATTCAAGTGTATCTGCAGATTTAGCTAGAATTTATGATGGGACACATACGTGAAACATCATGGAACTCGATTGCTGGTGCAATTTAAGATGTCAAATATGCATGTAATGGAGTTGCATGTACAAGGTTAAATTCCTATAGACAATTCGTGTGGTATATAATGTTTTGATTAGTTTTCGTCAATTAACTTTGTAACTGGTAGTTGTTTTGTATTATTTAAATCTAAGAATTGTCAATTACTTAATATTTATTTTTTGGCGTAAGATTTGCTTCTTTTCATTATCGCCAATATAACTTCTAACGGGTCAAAAATATTATATATTTTAGACATTGCAGACTCCAGTACAGACGATTGTCATTTAAAAATGATTGCGGTGGTAAAATATTTATGTTATTCAGCAACCTTAAAGTTATCCATTGATGCTTCCTTGCGTACACTTGTAGTTTGACCTTTGATAACCGGAATATTATACTCTATAGTTACCTCAAAGAAAATTTTAAATTCTTAAAAATAGAAAATATTGAGAAATTAATATTTTATTTAACAGATTTATTCTAATGCGGTTCTATTTTATGTTTTATTAATGATGACTATTTAATGAATTAATTTCAAGATTTTCATTTTATAGAATCCAATATGAAATGACTTAAACGAACAAATCACTTTTATATTATAATACTCTTATCCTATGACTACATACTCTCGTTATGGAATCGCTAAGTTTTAACTCTTGTATGAATTTCGCTGTTTATAATTTATCTAATTTCTAACTAAATACGTCATAAACTCCATTAATTATTTATTAAACACGTTAATATAAGTGTTTTTATTTCGTAAAATGTTTCATACTCTATTTAAAATGTTTGAGCAGCGAAATTTATGAATGGACAAAACAAATATCCCGAAAATCCCGACATAAATAGATGTTAAGGAAAATTATGAGCTTCATTTAGACTTATTGGCTTGTGTAACAGAGTGTTGTGTACATAAAATCATCTTCTGCATCACCTCCGTAATTATTCACGATTCTAAAATTGAAATCCCTTTTTCTTTCTAAGTATCCAAAAAGTTTTTATATTGTTACCATAAAGCGCACACAATCTGGTGACAGGGTGAAAAAATTTTATATTTGTCTACCAGCAGACGCAAAACCATTCAGGGTCAATATAAGAGTGAGGTAAAAGAATTTTGAAACAACCCATGCTTTTATCTAGCTTTGAATGATCCTGAATCACGATTTTGAATATCACACATTTATCAAATGTATTTTTACAAAAGCCTGCTTATTTATAGAACGATATAAACCTTTTATAGGAAAATATTTACTACACAACAGTTTTGAAGCGTCTAAACATTAAATGAACCGCACCGTTATATTTCTCTAAAAATTTACTCATAAACAACATGTCATGACATATTTACTCACACTATTTATTTTAAATAATAAACACCAATGACATGATCATGTTTTAAAGCTACATTTTCCTGGCCGTGCTTCCAGCTTTTCGCTTTCATAAAACGCTTGTAATTTAAGCTTTTCAAATAGTTAATTGAAGGCCTAAGTTGTCGTTTTTATTATATTTGTTTTAATAATTCTAATATATTTATATATCATGCATTATCGAAGTTTGTCTTAATATGTTTCTATAGATTTAAGATACTATCAGCTATACGTATATAATAGCAATAACAATAGGACAGACGTATTATTTGAATATGAAGCTTGAAAGCTGCCGAATGTACCTAATAAGTTGCGCAGAGACCAAAGTTTGTTCAAAATACTATAATAATTCGTTAAGGCTAAGATTATCATACTGTAAAATCGTTCCTTTTATATTTTGTCAGTTGTAGTTTTGTAAGAATAGATAGTTTGTGCGTAATTCATATTATAATTGAATTTATTTTGCGAAGCAGTTAACTGTACATTTTTGTGTGAATTCTAATGCTACTTCTATAATGATTTAAGTCATATATATTTTATCTGCTCTACTAAGCTTGGATTCGATCTTAAAACCTTATCTTCACTGGTTTCCACAAAATTTCAATATTATTGGGACGATCTATGGAAATAATTTGTTACTTACAGATTGCAAGCACTGTAGTTTAAAAATATACCGCATTAAAAAATGTCTTACTGTCAAATGTTGAGATATTTTTTAATATGTGGCAGTGGACGGTGCAGATTAGAATGATCTGTGATTTAGTGTTGCTAATTGAGAGTTTAATTTATATCGTGTTGGTATGTACATTATTTTAATTGTAAAAATGTTTGACATTCCGCTCAATCAGTACACAAGTAATATTAACTTTTTATATATGGATGTTTCGTTTTAACATATTGTTTGACACCCCTCATGGTATGTATTATTTATAGGCATTGGTGCATATCATGTGTATAGAACAGGTGAATAATCAAATAAATTAGAACAGAAATATAGTTGAAGTTAATGTTTTATTTCCCTCCGTCTCCAAAAAGAAATTTTAAAGTTTTTTACCGTTGGTAAAAGAGCTTACATAAAATCTTGTAAAAAAATATGATCAATTATAACACACACATAAAGTAAGGTAGAACATATAGGCTATTCATTTATTGATCTTTCTTTCCAAAATTAATTATTATGTTAGTGTCAAAGACAAAAAAAAACATGCTCCATAAATATTATGAGGTTACTTATAAAAGTGCAGTAGCTACAAATGGGGACTTATTGAAACATTGAAAAGTCCAAATGAGTAGAGCTCGAACATATAACATTGATGCTATATCAAGGTGTAGAACTACTGATATATGTTTCAACTAGTAAAAAAAGTACAGTTAAAAGTAAAGTTTCAAAAAGTACTAGCAAAAACTTTATTAGATATTATAGGAACTATATTGGATATACTAGGAAGAATCATAATTATAGTAAAATTGGACATGTTGTATGTTGTAGATTACCATCCATGAACTTTCAAAAAAAAGTGGTATATTCTCACTATCGTACTAGAATTATGCATGAATCAATACGAAAACATTCTAAAATTTCACTATAGCTCTATGTGATATTCAAAGATAGACTTTTGTATAAAAATTATGAGTGACCACAAACAAGATGCCTACATTATTATAGTCCGTTAGACTTGAGCTGAGCTTTGCATTTGTGTGAGTGAAAGTAAAAGTAGAGTTAGACAAAAAACTTTTAGAAATCAATTCTATAACATTTTAAATAGATACATAACATAAGTGCGAGATCTATTTCAGATTTAAAATAAAATAAGTAAAACTTTTAAAAGGCCAAATGGAAATATTATGAAGTAAAATTATTAAGTAATAAAATTTTGAAAAAAAAAAAAACTTTTATTCACTTGACGTTGCGTTTTCAACATTTGAAGTTGCCACAAAGGGTGAAGTGCGGAAGGTGCGGGGCGAAGTAAAAGCAGAATAAACCGGTTCAAAACTAGAAAAGAACGCGGCATTCAAAAATTTGACATCACACCTACACTATCCGTGAACACTCACACAAATGCAAAGCTCAGCTTAAATCAAACGCACTATACTATTTTCGTTTACAATCAATCTAAGGTTTGCTAGTCAATAGTGCTGGGCCTCAGAATTTAGTTTTTAACAACGTGTTATAATTTAGAATTTTTAGCGCTTATTTGATTGCTTTCGGTAGTTAAAGAGAATAAGTTATAGGTGATAAAAATGTTGTTTTGTTAACCCATTCCTAAATTACCCCAACAGAATATTTTGTAGCTTCTTACTCTTCAAAATTATTTTCATTGCATGTCTTGTGTCGTGTAAACGCAATCGATATGTGTTTCTATCTTGACTTGAGGTAACTTTTTTAAACAGTCAATAACAAATTTCAATAGTTCCGTACGTATAATTAAATATGTATCAACTTGGAAACTTACACTGCACTATTAGACTATGTTCTTGTGAATAGTGCATTTTCTCTAAAAATAAATCTCTGCTTTGTTACAATATTAATACTATAACAGAAGATACATTTAATAATCCGAATTTAATTTGATATAAAGATAACTCCAAGTTAGTTACAATAAAATGTAATGATCAAATGTTGTCGTCTTTGTTGGATCAACACTACACTAGTTGACACTATAGAATAAAACAAAAAATAATATAACATGTTATATATTTATTTCAACTCCATATTAAGTGTAAGTATATGAACCAAAAATAATATATTTACAAATGTATTGCAAACCTTAAAAAAATCACAACACAAATTCATGAACCGTCTATAAAAATAAATGAAATGATGAATTATTCTGAAAAATACTACAAACAATTAGTCTGTTAAGAAACTACTAAATTAGTGAATGTATCAGGAAATGTCATTAATGTTATTGCTCCTTCAACATACAAAAAAACATAAAGGAGAATTGAATTCTCTCAAATTATAAAAAAAAAATCTTTAAAATTACATACAACGGGCAAATATTTACATATTCCTTTCTACATTATTAAAAATTTATTAGTTCATAACAATACCTAACTAATGGGAGACCAATAAATCACATGTATAGTGCCAGTTAGTTGAATACACTTCATATATTCAAAATAATACTATAAGGACGATATTTAATCTAATTATTAAAAGGGAAACTCCCTATGATACTGGTGTTGCATGATATGAATATATTTGTATAATGTTCTGAACAAAACTATGGTTTTACTTAAAATCAATTAAAATTATATGAAAATCACGGCCATACCAATGTATTAATACAATTATTGAATACAAAGCAATACATTTCGTTACAACACTCCACAAAGCTTACAAACATTGACATTTTCTAAACATCCATACATACTATGCTCTGCAAAATCATTCTAATATACTATTACATAATTTTTATCTATGGACAGTATAACAACATAATAAAATTTAAATTTTATTAAGTATGTAATGGCAATTCTAATATTAAAGTCAAAATAAAATTTTGTGTTAAAGATTTATAACTATTATACTTACTATGTACTATTTCAAATCTATTTATGTCTCGTAGAAAAAACTTGTTGTTTTAATTTTACATTACAATGGCTGTACAAATATGAGGATATTCACAGCATTAACTTACAATTTTTTTTTAATTCCGTCTTTATCTAACCTTTTAAGAGTGAAAGAGTTAATACATTTGAACTTCTCGGTCATACAAAATTTTGGTAATATTATTATTTTTATCTCTTTCTCACTTACTGGTGTATGTTTTGTGAGAGAGAGACAGGTATATCAATTAAACTAATTGTAGGTCAGTATCATATAGTCTCAACAATACCCTTCCTTTTCCTTGGATCGTTAGATATGAAGGAAGTTTCCTCTGAAGAAGCGTTGGTTACTTTCGGATGAGAGGTTGTTGGTATAGGCTGGAAAGAAGCAATTTAATACAGATTAATATAGAATTAAATAAAATAAAGTTATTTAAATTATACCTATGTCTTTTATTAAGTAGTTTTATTTTGTTGTTTATTTAAAACTATTTCTTCGGATATAATTCCGATGGTTTAGTCTTAATTATAAACTAATATTGCTATTATTTTATAATAATCTATCACAGAAAGACACAAGGAAAGTCAGTCAGAAGAAAGATACGGAAATTACATCCGAAAACATAGTTCTAATAAATTTCATATTAATTTTCAAAATTTTTCAGTCCTTGATAGTTTCAATTATTGTATTAACTTTTTAGTATAATGTTAGAGAACAAAAATAAACACAAATATTACATCAAGATTTTATATATGATTAGTAACATTACAGATAATTATAGGCAACAATTTTAATAATGAATGAATTAATTAATATGTTAAAGAATTTTGAATGATCGGTACTAGCTAGAAATAATATCTGTTTTAAACTGATATTTATCTAATTTAAAATCATTGCCAATATTTTAAGCTTCATGCGTAAACCACGGGAGTTACTGAGAAGTGAAGTAAAATATGTTAAAAGCAATACTTGATAAGCCATGGGTTAATATCGATGAATGGTAAGCGATTATATTACCTCACTCTCCAGTAGTGTCCTTAAGTGGCTGGAAAACAGACAACTTATTTGCACACAATCATCATTTTTGTGTGTTTCAGGGAGAAAAATATATACAAGCAAAGTTAGCAGTTTTAATTCCTAACAAAACGCATGTTCATATGTATTTACAACCTGTGATAAGAAATATTTTGATTTACATCCAATTTACTATATAAATTCATTATATTTTTTTTGGTATATGATCCCCTTTTTGTCTATTCAATGGAACTTTAATCAAATTTAGATTTGATTGGATTTCAGCTAGCGAAGTTATGAAACAAATTTACATTCCTATGAAAGAAACAAGATGCTTCACAAAAACACAAACACAGAGCAAGTCGCGAAACAGCTTATAGTTAAGCACATAAGTAATATTAGTGTTATATATTACATTTCTCACGACAGGTGTTGCTGAGCCGGCGCTACGTCTGATGTCTTCTAAAGGTATTTCCTCTGATCTGGCCCGAGGTGATGAATCTCTTGAACCATTGCTGCCTCGAGATACACTGCTGGATAGTTTATAATATTCTTTGTTAAATTTAGATATATACACATAAAGTACATAGTTTAAATTCAGATATGGCATGCCTAATGAGATTTTATACGCGTGAATTAAGGTAATTTTTAATATTTTTTCATGTAAAGTTAAGAGCACATTAAGTTATTATCTATAGAATCGGTGTGCCTACCCTATTGTGAAGATTTGATATTTATCAAACACATATCACATATAAGGTGTCAATGTTTAATTTATGCAACTTTTTAAATTTAAGATTTCATATTTTAAAAGTCAACCACGAAAATTATCTGAGAATATACATTTACCACAAATTCTTGTATTTCTTCTATAATAAGGCTATGAATATTGGTAAAATATACATGAATTTCATAACAATGGTGATAAGAGATATATATTTTTGTGTACCTTTCTCGGCTAGTGGTAGTTCGTTCTCGATACACCACGATGCCATCTTTGAGGACGTGACCGCTAGTTCTTCTTATACGTCTCTCAGTATCATCACCATCTATACCTAAAAAATATAGCGTTTTTAATAGAATAATTAAAAATATTTATCGAAGTATCTTTTTGTCAGATAAAGGTAAAATAAAGTTGCTATATCACGATTTTTTCCATATAAAAGACCTATATATAAATTCATAGCTCGTTTGGAATATCACTAAAACAGGGATCAGTCGTTACATCAAACTGCTTTGATGTAACGACAGAAATAGACAAAAGACATAATTAAAACATTAGAAACAGATAAAATCTTAATTTTCATTTCACCTATGTTTGAGGGGTCAGATATTTGTTACAAAGTAAAAATCCATCCCGTCGTTATTGCATCGAGATGAAAAAATTGCTTCACAGCTTTAAAAGGCAGGTTAATATTAAGTATACATGAACAAACATATATTTTCTTAAAATCTGGATGAATTATGAGGCGTGGGTATATTTTTATGATAAATTGGGCAACTTAGCAGACAGCCTACCTGTTGAGACCCTTGATTGGGAAAGTGTGGGAACAGAGAAATGACAACCATCTCTTTCACTCATCGGATGAAATAAAGCCACTAAAGGCTACTTCACGCCGATCTTCTGTGAGACTGTACTTCCCCGGTCGAACCAGCCCATGTTCGAGCTGTAGTAACTGACCACAGCTAGGCTCTACCTAGCGCTTGAAATTTGGGTGAGTTATGAGACGTGAGCATAATAAAGGGTTTTTTACCTGAATGTCTCCTAACTGCGGCGAGGGCTGGTCGAGCGAAGAGCGGTCGATGTCTGTGAGAGGAAGGCGTTGGTAGAGCTGCGACACCTGACACTTCTAATAAACGGCCTATCTGTTGCATTTTCTTCTGGCGGGCTTTTGTTCGACCCTGTAAAATAAATATATGGTATATAATTATTATTATGACAGAAATGTACATGATACTTTAAATGAATCCAAAAAAGATCTTATTTCCTTGCTTAGAAAGAGATAAGTAGTGATGGGATGATATTGCAGAAATTAATTTAATGAACGTATATTGGAAAGTCATGGTGGTCTAATGGTTAAAGGGCCGCCTCTCATGCATGAGGGTGCGTTTTCGAAACCTGGCAAGTACCAATGTGATTTTTCCGAGTCTTATGTACTTTCTAAGAGTATTTAGTTACCACTGACAGACGCTGAAGTTTTCCTTCAAGTTAACTTTTGAAAATCTGAATTTAAAAAAAATATATAATTTATATTAGTCAGTGGTCTAGTTGTTAAAGGCCTGCCTCTCGTTGCCGAGGGCGCGGGTTCAAAACCTGGCAAGTACCAAAGTGATTTTTCGGAATCATATGTACTTTCTGACAGTATTTAGACACCACTGACATACGGTGAAGGAAAACATCGTGAGGAAACCTGGATTTATAATTTCAAATTATAAGTTTGAAATTGCCAACCCGTCTTGAGCAAGCGAGGTGATTAATGCTCTAACCTTCTCCATGTAAGAAGAGGCGTTTGCTCAGCAGTGGGCTCTGATAGGCTGATGATGATATTGGAAAGTTTATTACCTTAGTGAGTCTCTGTTTGGCCGCCATACTCCGAATGTGATCGTCAAATTTAAACTTCGCCCGCAATAATATCGTCCGAGGTAGTGCTCCGTTAGCGCCAACACGAGGCTTGTGTATTATAAGATGAAGACATCTCGGGTCCTCCTTGTCACCTTGTATCTATATTTTACAAACATAATTAGATAGTCATAACTATATCGAGATATAGATAGAAATACAGTTAGTTTCTAGAAGCAATCGTTTATATTTAACAATATATTATTTTTTCAGTCGAATACATCAAATTTTACAAAAAAATGTATAAAATCCTAGTCAAAAACAAAAAGATAGTTAAACTTCAATTCAATGAATCTTATATACCTAGTATGTACATATGAGACAAAACTTTTTAGCATCCAATGGATTTACCGTGCGATTGCATGGAGAGAAGCTTCAACAGTGCCTGGGACTTGCGACCCAGTTGTAGATGTAGGGACCCCTATCTAACGCGAATTAAACGCTGACCTCCACTGTCCAAGTTCCTCTCTCTATATAACCAAATTTGAAACGAACCTACTAGGGCTGCCTTCGACGTACGTTCCAAGAACGAATTCATGTTAGTTCTGGACAAGCCCAAATTTTTTACGTTAGATTTAGCTGTTATCTTTATATATATAATTCTTCTGTGAGTGTGTATGGTACTGAACTTCTTTCAAACAACTGGATCAATTTTGATATTTCTTTTGTGTGTATTCAAGGGGGGGGGGGGGATCTGGGAATGGTTTAGATTCACAATTTTGTCCGCTGGACAATGTTTTTTTTAATTAATTTTTAATTTGTTAGTGGTTGTTGATACATACAAACGGTTTTTTTTTGACATTAGATTTGACAACTAACTAATATGTCAATCATTCTGTCGCACTTCAAAACGCGGAGATTTATGGCTTTAATAGGTAAACTCCAAAAATATAAATAAAAAAACGTAACAGATATTTCTTGATTATAGGGCGATACGAAGTTCGCCGGGTCTTCTAGTATACATATATATTCTGAGACTCACCTCAAGATCCTGTAGACTCCCCACCAGTTTAGCGACCCCCCAGCCCAGTCGTTGTTTGTCAGGTTCAACAAGTATCACCTGCATGTTGTCTACCGCTAAAAAGCGATGTTGCCAAGTACCGTCTCTTTGGATTATATCACAGGATATCAGGTCGGAGTCGTCTGTAAAGTTATTGAATATTTTGATATAAAATATATTTCGATATTATTTATTCCATTGAAATCTCAAATGGTTTGGTTTATGATTGTTCACGCTATTAGATGAATTGGATTATGCACATTGCTTATGAATTAACGGGTATCGATCAAAATAACAATGAAAAAAGATTACTATTTTGTGAGTCTGCGAGCATTTTGTTTGGGTCAATTTATAATTGTAAATATATGTGTTAAGTCTTGTGGTTCATAAAGATTATGTGTGTCTTATCAGTGATTCAGCGTGATTAAGAATATGTAATTTAAGTAAGGCAATTTTGTTTTAATCTGATTAATTAATTTCTATTGCGATATTCGTAATAAGTAATGATAGATTTATTTGTTACTTAAATCATAAGGGAAAAGAGAAACACGAAATTAGCATAACCTGCTATAAAGGACTACTGATAAAAAATACTACTTCATACATTATTATATCTGCGATAATAGTGCAGCCTTATTGATAAATAAGTATGACGATTTTATAAAATTGGCTACACACAGAGAATGTACATCTCTGAGGAATTCAAAAATTCATAGAACCTTATTTTTTTTCTAACGAATATTGAAACATAGTAAAAGGCAATGCTTATGATTTAAAGAAATTAATATTTAACAGTTTAAGCATTATTTAATTTCACCAAGTAATTTCGTTATTATCACAATCAAAGAATACCAGATAAGATAACACAAATGAAAAACCAATATGAAATCCCCAATCGACGATCATAATAGGATTACTAATTCGAATCCATTAAGCAATAACCTTCTTTACTTGTTAAACATCAAATTCGAGTTTTCTTATGACGTCATAGGTCTCTTTGTCCTATATAAGAGTTCCAAAAGTCTCACATATATAATCCTTACTTTTTATATATTACACGACTTTATTTTTTGTAAAAAAAAACTACATACTCCCGACGTTTCTGCTGATTTACAGCAACCGTGATCACGAGCAGACGAGATGTATGTAGTTTTTTACAATAATGAAATCCGAAAAATATTAGTTTCATTTAAATGAATAAAACTCTCGAAATTTTCTCATTAGGTCCTTACTTTATTGCTGTTGTAAATAATACTTACTTAGGTCCAAAACATCTCCAACTTGCACAAATGGCGCGGGATTGGCTAACGGCAGTTGACTCTCAGGCCGGCCGGTCAGCTTGAGGTATAGCTCTCTTATCAAGAAGAACGTCCGTATGGCGCGACGAGCTCGCTCCATCTGAGGGAAATATGCCCGACACATGGCTTATATACGTCGACTTGGGTCTACATTACAACTAAGTTAGACGACTTGAATATTCTGGAAGAAATTCGCTTAGATCAGATACAAAAACCTTTGTAATTAAGAAGTTTTGATATAGAATACAATTTCACATTAATCAAAATTGATAGTTTCTGCTAGTCTTTTCAGATGACATCAATAGAAAATGTCACTAAATAACCTATTAAGCAGGAAAAATTTGATAATTAAAGCATTATTAACTTAAAAATATTGAAAACAATACAATAATCTGTAATAATTTCGTATTATAGTCTCACCTCTCCGCTTGGCAGTCTTTTTTCGAAAGCAATCCCTGACATAGGTGTACGCGTGGGTGGTAACAAGATGGCCGCATCCATACACAGACACTCAACGTTCAAAGGCTTCTTGGACATCTCACAGTACCTAATAATTTAAATATATAAATTAATTTCATCTTAACTTTGTGACGTTAAAAAGTAATATTCTGCGGATATACGTCTGCCCGTTATCACGGTTGCTGTAAAGTAGCCGAAACGTCGGGATTATGAAGTTTTTATCAAAAATAAAGTCGAGTAGTATACCGCAAAATATTAGTTTCTTTTAAATGACTCGCGAAAATCTCAAATCTCATTTTGTGACGTTGTTTGAACACCCCGTATACATTTGTCAAGGTTAAAGATCGTGTATACTAAACCTAATTTATCGTTATATTAATTTTTAATTTAAGTAAATTAGATTAGCAATAATTCATTCTTACTCATACAAACATGTTTTATGACCAGTTATACAGAGATTTTGGTTTATATCAATTAAAAAATATATATTTATTTAGCTATCTAGCAACACTTACAATATTGACATAATTGAAACAGAATTCACAAAGGAAAGTTCCATTAATATAATTATTACTAATAAGTAGCATCGATACTAACTCATCCTCGAACATATCCAAGAAGATGTCATCACATTTATAGAAGTTCCTAGCGAGTGCTGCGGCGCGGGCTCTCAATACATTGGCTGTCTGTCGTGAGGTCACTGAACCCTCGCTGAACTGCATCGCGGTGCGAAGAAGACGAACAGTTAGCTCACATGTCACTAAACGGACCTTGGAAGCTGGAAAACCAATATATTAAATGAGAAAGTTTGTTAGGTTATATCTTCTTCGTCTACCTGGCAATTTCCCGGCTATAGCCAGGCCTTACATGTTGTGAATAGTTTTGGCCAATTGTTTTTTACGACCGGCCGCCTGCTTGACATCAACCCTCTTTTGGGAATCAGCATTAATCAGTGATGTCTAAATATTCTTAGAAAGTACATATGACTCGGAAAAATCACATTGGTACTTGCCCGGGCCAGGATCGAACCCGCATCCTCGGCAACGAGAGGCGGGCCCTCTAACCATTAGGCCACCACTGACTTTTGTTTGGTTATATGAATGTATTAATTCTTGTTGCTTTATCATTATATTCGGGAAATGATTGTTTTAGCCAGGTCAGGGATAATGGTCGTCTTTGTATGGAGTCACGTGTCACATAATATAAATGTCGCTGCCCTTAGCTTATCATATTTATTGCTCTAGCCGTCTGTATACATTTATCTTGACGCCCGATTTAGAGGTACTTGCAAACTATTTCGCAAGCAAATAGCTGTCCTATTGTATAGACTACTTTTAGTCCTTTTGATTAGGAGGATAAAAATGTTTTAAAATGGCCTGCATATTTGTATTTTTTCTAGTTTTTACTAAATGCATACATGTTTGTATGGTAGATAAGAATATAAAATGTTTTTATTATGTCTGAAGTGATTGCACCGATTTTGATAAGATTTGAACCGGCAGGTATATGATGTAATAAGGTTTAACTTAGCAGAAATCTCGGGCACAGCTATATAAGTAGCATATTTATGTATTATTATTAGCATATCTGTACTGTTATTAGCCAAAAAATGTTTTTTTATTCCGTTATAATCATTATGATATCTTTGTTACTTAATACATTTAGGTGTAAAATTAAACGAATATAATTATGTATATTAATCAACCTTACCCGGCTTACAGCATAGATTAGCAATCGCCATCAATTCCGCTATTAGGAGTCCATTGAAGCTATCTTTCTTTTCCTTTCTTTCCCCTTCATCTGGCGATCCACTTGAGGTACTCGCTTTGCTTAGATCAGCTTCTGGCCGCAATAAAATATCGAGCAACTCAGGATTGACCCCTATAATAATAAAAAAAATATTACAACATAATAATAATTGTAAAACAACTTTATATAATAAACATCCATACCCACTGATAACCAGGTCAGCAAGAAAAAAAGTTATCATTAATTAACATATTCGCAATCATATTATATTATGTTTATATGAATTACCTTTATTATTTATCAACGCGTATAGCAGGCATAGTGCGAACAACGCTTTATAGTCATTTTCTGTGCAATCCAATGAATCTACAACGGTCTTTAAGAATGGTCTATTTTCTATATTTCCAGTCGTTCTTTGAATATCTTCTGTGACGTCACCAGAAGTTCCCGGCATCACATTCAACAGCTTCTGTTTTTCTTCGTCAGTTATATTCATTTCCGTCACAGTTTTTGATGGTTCAACCGAATCTGGGAGTGGTGAATCTGGCATATTAGCTTTCGGGATGGCGGGATTCCTCTTAATAGTCTGGATTTGCGTCACCAAATCCTCCGTGGAATCGTGGGCTATGCTCGAAGTTTCGCTGATTTGGGAGGTGGACGGCAGCGAATTGGAAACTAGTTCCGGATCTAGATCGCAACTTGAATGATCGGTGTTATCCAAATCTTCACCAAAGCTTTTGGCCTCAGCATATTCTGGAGTCGTGTAATCTCTTTCTGGACACGAAGTGTTCTCCAATGCTTTCTCCAAACTCAATTGAGGTTTGGAGAATTCAAGTTTTACGTTGGATTTGGCGTTCCTATCGTACATGTCCAATATTTTTGTAGCACCTTCCTCGAATACTGATAAATTTGATTGGAGTATGATCCAAGCTAACGCGTGAACTATTGGTCCGTGAGTTATAATTAGGAAAACTTGCGATAGCAAAAATAGGGCGACCACACACGAAACTGAAGGCTTAATCTCCTCCTCTGATTCAATTCTTTGGATTGGATAATTTATTCTTGGTGGAGTATCAGTGCTTTTCCCGGTTAATATTGCTTCTAAATTACGAGTTATAACTTCTATACTTTGCAAGTGTTCGCGATTATATACCGGACGTTTCATCGTGTCGGATGTGAGTGAGTATATGTAGAGTGGTATTAATAGTTTGTGAAGTAAATGCTCAGTAAGAACATCGTTCAGGTCAGGAATGTTCAGGCACAGAATGTCGTTTATATAGTGAAGGTGATCCAAGTGTTCGGCTACTAAATCGGCTAACTTTTGTTGGGATTGGTGGCTGGAAAAATAGTTTAGCATCTTTACACATATTAACATAATCTATTTCATAACTAACTTAAATAATCCATACTTTCATGGTTATCTCATTCTGAAGGTTTTCATATTAAATTTACTAAAGACTTAGATCTTGATTTTATGATACCAATTTCTTTTGGAACTTAAATCAAGTTTAATTTAAACATATATAAATAAGAAGCAAATACTTCAACATGATAAAGGCGTATTTCATAGTAAAAGGTTTACAATATTCTTAGTACTAACAAATATGTATAAGAGATGTATTTATGAACTAAATTTACTTACTCAGCATCATTTCTGACACAGGCATCCAACTCTAATATGTGTTTCCCAATGAACCAGACCAAGTTACTAAAATACGGCGCAGCGGTTCTAAAAACAAATAACAAAGTAATTTATAACTTCATATAATAAACATATTATTGGAACTATATTCAAATAACTAAATATTTTAACTGAACTGTTTATTAGATTAACTATCTGACAGTTAAAATTAAGTTCAAACCAAAGAGCTGTTGCTGAAGCAAACAAAAATCTTCGATTCAATACAATTTCATCATTAGTATAGTTTTTAAGTATGGAAAATTTGGACAAAAGAAATAACATTTTGATTTCATGTACAGATGAGATGGAAGTTAAATATAAGTTGTATTAAGTTGAAATTTAACTTTACCTGTCTCTTATAAACCGCAACATACTAGCATCTTGTACTTTATAAACATTCAAAGTCAACGTACGGACGGCTATTCTGACCATTGATTCCGGATGATTAAAAAATTTGATAGCCTCTGTGTAAAGAGGAAAGTCCTTTGTATGCTGAAAAGAAAAAAAAATTACAATATAATTCTTAATTTAAAACAATACTTAACATAGGTTACTAAAAAAACAGTACTTAATTACAAGTAAGTCATGAAGTAAATATGTATATAATCTTTATATCTTTACAATTACATAAGAATAATTAAGTTTTACGAGCGGATATTATCATTGAAATATAGTACAAGGATGAATAAGATAAACATAACATATATGTATATACACATCCCTACTAATGTCTGTCCGTCTGTCTTGTCTTGTTATGCTTTCACGCCTAAACCACTGCACTGATTTTAATTAAATTTGGTACAGAGATGGAGTTGACCTTGAGAAAGAACATAGGATAGTTTTTATGCCAGACTTTTGAAAAGTTCTCTTGGAAACACAATAAAACCAAACTCCATGCGGGCGAAGCTGTGGGCAGAAAGCTAATATATATATAAATCAATCTGTGAATTACCTCATTATAAAAGAAGTGTATTGTGTGGTTATTTAGTTTAAAGCTGAGAGTTTTAAGGAATGATATATAGTATGCCATCACTTCTTCATCGGATATATCAAATTTATGTACTATTATTGAATTAACATGATTATTGCTGAGAAGATAATCTGTAATAAAAATTGCACTATTAATTTTGGCACAGTATAACAAATAATAATTAATAGGTACTTAACATACTTTAAGTTAGAATTTTCTAGAGAAGATATCATATATGTAGAAGCCAAATTTTCAAGATGGTTTCATGTACATTGATTAAATACAATATCTTTAGTGAAATAATATTAATATATATTTTTTGTCTAATTTAATATTTATATTAGATCTGAACATTATATTTGTTGTCCATAATTTTAACGTAATCATTCAGATTCCGTTGTTATTATGGTTTTGTCAGAAGCATACGGACTACAAGTGATTGGTAAATAAATTACTTTTGACACTTTTTATTTCTTAACTATCACATTAAAATGTTAAAAAATATACATCTATTATATAAAATTGATACACAATTTGTGTTAATAGTTTTATAAATTGATAGATATAAAACTTAGGTATATCATTGCTTACATAATGATGTTTCATTTCTTATATTCTCAAACAGTATATTAAGTGTCTGCAACAATTGTACACAAACATACGAAGATCCCCCACATTTCTGCCTCATTATCCTTAAGAAATATGATAGCATGTTCTTCTCTAGGAAAAAGCTGAAATTATAATATTACATGTAAAACTAAAGAGGTTTTATATAAATGTAATAAAACGTATATTCAATTTGATAATAAGATGTGGTAAAAATGAAGTTATCGTTAATTTTGAAATTAGAATAATATATGCGTAGAATTCTTGCTTAAATACACTTACATAATTTTTAAGTGGAGTACTCATTGAATTAAAGAGAATTATTTATGTCTGAATTGTTTTACTTCTTTTTGGGGTTTTTCTAAGACTTGTAATTTAGTTAAAGTTTTGTATACTAATGAAAATATCTAGTTTTAGGCTTAGCAAGTTAAAAGTTTTTGGGCTAGAATAATATAATTGTGACAATTTTATTTTTATGAACACAAAGAAAGCTGTCAATAAACTATTTGGAAACAAATCTATAAAATATATTATCTTGCATATGTGAAGAGTAATTTTTTTTTTTAAAAGAACAAAAAAGTTTCAATATCAACATTTCATTTATTTATGTCCCAATAAAACATAAAACCTGTCTTCATAAAGAATCGAACGTGTTGGCAAGGTTGCATTTTATCAATACACTTTAAGGCCATGATAATCAATTATACTAAGAGTTTTAAAAATATGAAAACAGTATTAAAATACTTACTCAAACACAGAGCTATCATTCTGGTCACCCCATATAAGTATTTCTGCGATACATCGTAATGATTCAACTAATATGCCTCTGTTACTTTCTGATACAGTAGTGTTTCTGCATAGAATATTGTGTAAATACTTCAATCTTTCCAGCGAATGGGGATTTTTAGGGCGACCCCAACCGCCCCCAAACCAACTACGACTTCGAAACATCACTCCCCTAGATTTGTAACACGATTTTTAAATGAAAACATCTTTCGTAGATCTCACATATATGCGTCACAAATTAGCATCATTTATTTACTACATTAAACGAAATGGCATATATTTTTATAAATAATTTAGCCGTTCCATGTTTCACCATCAATTGCACTACTGAGCTTAACCCTTTAATTTAGTTTTTGGTTTTTTTTATTTTTCTTTAACACTGCACTTGTTATTTTGCACTTCCTGTTACATACGTGCTAGTGGATTAGCGAGTAGTGACAGTCATTTGACAGCTGTCAGAACACAAAACGTCTAGAAATTCACTTTAAGATGTTACCATTTATATAAAGTAAAAATAAAAAATGTTTTACTATCCATAACCATGGGTAAGTTAATAGGTTTAATTTTTTATCTTTGAAAGGCAGTGATTTAAATTTACATTCTTACTGTCAATATTGTAATCAATTATAATTGGTATCTAAGAACCACTTATAAACTAAAACATATATATTGTTTGATTTAATGGTGAGATTAGCCGAACAGGCGATTATAGTTACAGGCAACAATGTAAAGCTGAACAGACGAAACTATAAAAAGACGCTAAAATATCTAAACATGTACATAAACCCCATAGCTGGACGTAATCTCACAATTGATATTTATTTAAATATATTACAGCATTATTTTCATAAAATTTGAATATTGATTAAAAGAAACTTAGCCTACTTGTAGGTTTTCAAGATCATTTTGAATATTTTAAGAATGTACGTTATAAAATATTTACCATTTACTTACCTATTTCCAGAGTTTATATTAAGAACACAATGAATAAGACAAGAAGGGAAAATACACTAAAAACATAATTATTGAAAGTACTTAACATTTTATTTCAAGGAAATTTTGGTAAATTTTGTCATATTAAAGTATGTGTTCGTTTTTAAAAACAAACATAAATCGTGTGAGTAACGATAGAAGTAGAAATGAAAAATACTTTGTATTTTATGGCTGCGTCATTTATATACGATTAAAGTTTTTACGATTTACAAGCATTTTCCAAAATTCCCTTTTTTTGAGGGAATTTTCTACAAAGTTCCAACAAAATTAATATCCAATCCTTAAAGGAAAATTAAGTTTACTAATAAAATACAACAAACAATCAATTGTTAGAAAAAAAGGCCAACTTAAGAATTTCTTGGACTTTTTAGTTTTTCATTCTTAAAATACTAATTAATATCATATTATATATTTTTTCTTTTTTGTAAATTTATACTACCTTATCGTGTTTTATATGATTTCTAGAGATAAATTTAGGCTAAACTATATTCTTTCTAATTTTCTATTAAGATGTTTAAGTGATAAATTAGTGTTTTTTTAGCACTCCTTTGTTCCTTCGATAAACAGAAATAATGTTTGGTTAATTTGATTTGGTTAATGTTGGTTGTAGAAGTTTTTACGACCGTAGTTTTCCAATCACAGCACCAGGGCGCATTTGCGACATAATGTTCAACGTTAAATGTTTCAACTACAGCAGCGCTTCGCACAATCAAGCACACTTAAAACTACTGCTTAGTAATGCGTGGTATCGATACCAACCTCAGTGACAGAAAATTAACACGTGTTTTTTCTTTAAGTTGGCATTGATTTCAAAATTTATTTCTGTCTTTGTTAGTAATTAGGATGGTTTATTGTTGAGAAAAACTTTTAAGCTTTCGTTGTGGCGTAATTTTTTCGAAACACTGCGAACTTTTATTCAGACCCGGTTACAAAGTAAATGTAAGGATGGAAATACACATTCTCTATTTTTTATATTCTCATTTTAATTTTGAATACATTCTCATTTTAAAATTTAAAACCATAAATAAGTTTTTAAACCAGTAACTTTTGTCAACATTGCAATAGCTTGATCGAATCCATTGAAAAGTATAGATAGAATTCTTTTAGAACTCATTTAAAAACAGTACTCAAAACAAAACAAAAATATTAAACAAATAATCAAAATCCTAATAACTTCATGTAACCGTAAATAATTATTTTACATCATTTTTCTCATAGATTTATGAGGATGTTAAGTCTATGACAATTTTATTCTCAACACTGAAATTAGCGCACTCTACTGGTGCAATAGAAAACTAATTCGCGTTGCAATTAAGCATTAGCACACTGTCATTGTGCGCCACTTAGTCGCATTATGCTCTGTGATTGGAAAACTACGAACATCACTAATACGGTGATAATTATATTTTTCATATTCTGTTTAGGTATACAAATTAGGTGTAATTGATATAAAATATGTTAGTATTATATAAACATTTTACTGGAGTGAAAATGAAATTCGGTATTTATTTGATATCCAGAGGGTTCAAAAATAATATGAAGCAATAAAATTTATTATTTATTTAATAATATAAACGGAACGTAAAGATTAATACGATGGAACTTACACTAATATGTTTAAATAAAACTAGTTAATATTATGCAATTGTAAAGTATTTATTTCCATTAATATTTTGTTTATTACAACTCTTACATTAATTTAAGCTTATTATAAATAATTAAATTAATAATAAAATTCGTTACGGCGAATTTTCGACATTTTGTATAAAACAGTACAAGTATTTTCGTTCATAAATTAAAAATAACTAGCTAATTAATGTTTGTGACACATCTTTATAAATACGTTTATTTTTTTCTTAATGACTAAAAATATTCTATTCCACTCAAAACACTATGATCACACTTTAAAAAAATAAAACTAGTATTTATTTACTGGACGGATACAACTTACGCTAAGGTGCTAATAAATTGGTGTGAAATAAATATGTATGTATGTTTTAATTATCATTAAAACCAAGATTCAAATGCAGCAAGAGACTTGCATAATTGCGTAATCTAGTTAGTTCAATTATAGTGTATACAGTCATTGTAAACTTGAAAAATATGAGTATTTTATTTTGTTATATAACATCAATAAACAGTGATTTTTATGTCAAACTTAAGCTGTTCTGTTTAATCATATGATTTGAAGTATTAAGATCATTTGTACATCATTTAGTTCATGTAATAATTAGCCATTTTGAACATTCGATGTCATAGAATATTACAAACTAAAAGTTCTTCACAATTAAGGATGAATGTTACTTGACGTATGGAATCTGTAAACTAAACATACGAGGACTCGATACGAGCCATTATTACTAACTAAAAATACCACATCCTTTTAAGGGTAGAAGTTTTGCAGGGCATCCGAGTAGATTGAATTGTAGGTATCGCGAAGAACGTATACGTTATCACCGGGCTTTCCATTGAAAACATATGGTCCTTTGAGATTCGTGATTTTGGAATTTGTTGGAACTGGTTTTGGCTTGGTGTAGGATGGTTTGTATTCCGGACGAGGAGCTGGGGGCATAACTGGTGGGGACGGTCCATATCCGAATGGATCCATTTGAGGAGCTGGAGGGTACCCTGGCGCACCGCTCCATTGATATACTCCAGTCGGTTTTCCGTTGGAAACGAAATCAATAGGAAGGTTTATAAAGGGATCGGATTGTTGAGGAACACCTGGCGGCAGCATAGGAGCCATAGGTCCAAGGGACGGTGGTTGAGAAACGTAACCCAAACCAGGCACAAACATGTACGGAGTGGGTGGTAATCTGATATAGAAAATAGGAGAATTATCATACTGAAGGGAGTTTATGTTGTCGTTTGGATAGGAATCCGAATTGCCATTCTTTTTCTTGTTTTGTTGCTTGCGTTTGCTTGGAATGGTCCGAGATAAGTCCTCTTCGTCAAAACGGTCGTCGTTCACTGCAAAAGTCACGTCATCATCGTCATCCTCAGCGTAATCGAGACCTGAGGAGAGAAAAGAGGGAAAGAAGCCTCGGAATAAGTTTAATGCCTTGTTTCTTCTGTTTGTAGCCACTGGAGTCTTCGTGGTTGTGACTTTGAATTCATCTTCCAGTTTGCTTTGTCTGCCGGCATCTGTTTCCTCAGGGATTGCTGCAGCCCTTGATCTTCTCGAAGGCGCACAATGAGCACTATACACGATGGCTAATAGCAGGAGAAGTGGCAGCAGTAGTGGAGTCTCCATCTTAATTTTTCTGAAATTAAAAAAATAAAGGTGTGTTCATTATACCAGATTTATTAGTCCTATTTTATCCTATCCTACTTTATGTTCCCTATTAAATAAGATGCCTAAGCTTAACAAATCAAGCGATGCAAAGCCACATAAAAGTTTCCAATCCCAATCAAAAAAGGCATAAAATACGAACAAACAGTAATTATAAGTCAGTCCATCAAGTTATTTAATGAGAGCGAGACTCATTTAGCGCAGTCATTATATTTCATAACAGCATGCATACTGCATCCGATTTTTCAACAACTAACAAGACCAAGATAAATTGCAGGATGTAAAGAGCCATCGATTAGAGCTCAGCAGTCGGTACGGACAGAAAAAGTAGGCGTTGATATTTGTAGTCATTACTTATGCGTAATCAGGAGCCCATAACACTCATATATTCTTAAATTGGGCAGACAATTGTTTGAAATGGACAATAAAGAGGGCCTGTGGAGATATTACGAATAATTACGCCAGTTACTTGAATGATACACACTGGAAATTATGTTGCCTTTTTATAAGGAAGCCATATAAAGCGGAGTTCTATCACAGAAAAACGTAAGGAAGGAAAATTATTTGGCTTAATCATCATTTGTCTTGATAAGGCCTTAGGAACAGTGCCATATAAAATAATCAAGATTAAAACTATATTTATGTCTAATCTAAATTTTAGTATCACTAATCGGTTTTTCATTATGTTATTAACTATCGTTTATTACATGTGCCGGTGTTTACAAAGTTGGAAACATACTAATAAAAAACATTAATGTAACACTAAGGAAGAGTAAAATCTGACCACGAGTAGATTTTGTAAATTGATTAAGAGATTTTATGAGGCGCAATGAATAAAACATGTTGTAGTTTTTACCGTAATGACAATTCTGAGTATAAATATTTGTGTGCAATATATCGATAAAATTCAACTACGGTTAGTTCTCACTAATTAAATGTATCTTGTATATAATTACTGGTATTAATTTAATTCACCCTAAAGTTTGTTTTCAAAGAATTACCAAACAGATTCGAATAAAATAATATTTCATAATAGCTGAAACCTAATTTACAATTACACTTTTTATTCTAGATAGACATTGAACTCAAACATTCAATAAGAGAGTCAGTCTTATGTATATTCAAGGTTTCCATAGAAACAGATTTTTTTAGAATTCCAAAAGTTATTAAGAATAGTCTCGCTTTTATTGAGACAAAATATATAAAGAATTTTAGTACCAATAAGATGTATAAAATATACCAAGTTGAATTATTAAGTATGTAGAAAAAGTAATTAATAATAATAATTTACTACAGTTAACTGGTAAATTTATTGAAGTATTAAAAATTATGTCTTAATTTTGCTTTTAAAATGTTGTTGCTGATTTTTTCTCTATCAACATAAACCAACTCTCCAAAGTAAGACATGTTATAACGAAATTAAGATGAAGTTTTTGTACCAGGCTATTCTTAAAGTTTTTCAAGTATTTTTTGAAAGCAAAGTTAATTAAGATGTTTTCAATCATGTACACCAATATAAGAGACTCCTTTTAAAAGTTTGCATCGAACTTACTGACTATATTTTCTCCTAACTATGTGATAATATCTAATACGATTTAGCTACATTTATTAGTAAGAAAGGCTTTTTATGTATCACAGTCGTTTGCCAATACAAGAAGTTTGTATTGTCCTAATACATACGGAATCTTATAGCTTACACATTATAAACCTACGTCGAAACCACCGTATGCGAAGAAGTATGAAAGACTGAAAACGCTCGGTGTATAGTAAGTGGTTAGTCGATAGAAACATTTGGTAAGGATAATGAATGTCATTAGAACTATCGCCGTCATTACTAAACCGTTCGACTTTTTTTTACAAACAAGTTATCATTAGATGGTAATATCATTAAAGGTCATTGCATTGTAATGATTACACATTTCATTTGTAAGGAGATAAACGTGTAATAAAATTTGTATCGATGATTTGTTGCTGAACAAAGTTTATCTAATATATTTTTTTTATTTTCAATAATATTACGTTAGATTTATACGAATCCGGCTACTTTAAATTCTTAGCATTGTTTAATGTGTTGTTTGTTAATAAAAATACAAGCTCAGTGTAAAGACCCATTAACAATACAAGCGTATAAATTTTATTATCCAACTAGTTCTAAGTAAATTAGATTAAATCAGCTTCTCACTATAAAACATCGGCTCATTAATTGTGTGTTCAATAGTAATCTTTTTAATCGTATCTAATCCGTGTTTTACAGTGCTTACATTATCGAATACCAGAGCACTAAGTATAAAATTACTGTACTACTAAAGGTTTTCACTCATATAAAGTTTACAGTCATTAGGTAACATAGACTGAATAAATAGTTCCTATATACCAAACATTTTTTTAATATCAAAACTGGATGATCTCTAAAAATTTACTTATATTATACTAGAAGCTTTTCATTAACTATGTTAGACAAATTATGTTCAAATATTCCGTAATGTTTTGGGAATGAATATAATTTTTTTGCCCTTGATATTTATTAAATAAAATTTTATATAATTCTTGTATAGTACATATAGAGAAATAAAGTCAGACCTTGAGAGATTTTGCATACAAAGTTACATAGTTTTAACTATAAATTGATAACTCAGTCAATTATTGATGATGGATGGAGCCTATTATTTTATTAATAGCAATAGCCTTCTGCCTAAAAGATGCAAATTAAATCTAAATTATAGGAGTTCGAGCTAGGTTAAGAACATTTTTAAACCACAAAAAAACTACATATATATTTAATTGTCGGATTAAGAAAAAAATTGTACAGTTTTTTATTAAATAAAACAGTTTTAATGAGCGGTGTGATTCAAATTAGAATTCTTCATAGTGTTTATTACACTGAGTTAAATATACCTTACGATAGTAAACTTTTATTGCATACTAATGTTTTTGTATTATAAGAAATAGTAATCAGTAATATAAAAATAGAAGTACCGAGCCAACTAAATTGTCCATTATAATGCAGATATTTAAATAAATTTATTTAGTCAAAAGCAGTGGCGGCTGTACCTTAAGTGCACTCGTGCGCTGAACCACCAATTCAAAAGATTTAAAAATTACAAAATATTACTTCATCTTTATTTTTAAATTACCATTTTAATATTTATTTTCTAAACATACAAAACATTATAGTCAAAAAGTTTGAGCGCTTTACTAAACTAATATCTCGTGCGCTTCGGCGAGTGCACGAGGACTGCTAATACATTTTGTATGAGATACGAAATAATACGCCTGACGCGTGAAACAAAAGATAGTTCATAGAAATGTACCGAGTAATGAGTCGGTTCTCGAGCGCCGCACGAGCGGCCGAAGATTACCGAGAGCACCCGATGTATGACGAATTAAGCCATGATTGACATTTCGTTATGTTTTGTTGCATTTTCTAATTTTAATATTTTAGTAAAGTGCACCACCAGTTCGATTACCCACCAGCCGCCACTGGTCAAAAGCCTGTTGTACGTAAGCATCTTCGAGAGAATAAAACTATTTTTTGTGGTTACATACGTTATGATATGTGATAAATAATGATGAGATGGAAAGTTTATTTTTATCATTATTATGTTAAAGGACAATAATATAAGTAGAATGAAAAATTCTTAGACAAAAGCTCGTTACTAATTTCTAAGTAATATGCATTGTAATAACTTAATTTTAAATTAATAATAATTATATTCAAATATTGTTTTTAATTTTTAAGAATATATCTAAAATAAACGATTTTGTATATCGTCAAAGTATACAGGAACAATTTCAAGTGTCTCTTTCAAATATGGCCGCACGTGATAGTGAATAAAAAGTAGAAAACTGTTTATTTTGACGTTGCATACTGATAATATAATGAGACGAAACCTCTCTGCACTCAATGGATTCACCGTGCGGGTGCCGGGTCCATCGTGGCAGGGAGAGGAGCTTCAACAGTGCCTGAGACTTGCGACACAGGTGTAGGTTTACTAATGTAAAAATTTCATCAATTTATCTCAATGTTTTTTTTATTTTCCAACTTTTTCCCTCATAAACCATCTATTACTAGGAGCCCTAAAAATCCGTTCTTTTACCAACAATAATAATAATATATTTTTTTATTTTACCCTTAAATTAACGAGAATAAGAATTAACTATAATTACCTAATAAGGTAAAAATGTACGATCTTAGCCACTCGCTAAAGAGCAATTTCTTCCAGACAACTAACAAGGAAGATTAATACATATTTATGTATTTGATTGGCGTGAACATAAAAGAAATCATAAAAATAACACAAATTAAAATACTGTACATACTTTTTTGTATCTTATTATTGACCTTTATAACTCTAATTTCATTGAACTTCCATATATTAATCTCTTTGATGGATTACTTTATCTCTAATGCCTCATACCTCTATTTTACATATAAATATATTATATCAATATGACGTAACGTTACAACAAAAAATATTATTAATATTAATTGTAATCGATTCCACATTTCAATCGAGAAGTCAATGATCCGATCAAATTATCGTTACAAAAAATCGATGACAATCATTGATAAATATTGCTTTTAAATGAATCGTAAAGTTTTCTTTTGAGTTTTATTTTATAGTGATTACAGCTCATTATATGCTCTGATAAATATTAATTGCTCTGTCGTGTTCTAATCTGTGGTAGATTTACATATATATGGGCCGGTTTCATTATTTCAAATTCTTAAACTATATTAAAGAATTTGTGATTTTTATTAAAAAATTTGTGTTTAAATATATTTTTGGTTATTTTTTTTTATGACTGATCACGTTTTATCTATTACTAAGTAATCGCAGTGACCACAAATTAAGGAAATCATTAAGACCGACCTCGAATGATCTATTGTAGGCATTTTTAAATCAAGATTATTCAATTAGATTTTATACTTTGATGACTTTATATATTCATGATTTATT